CACACACACACACACACACACACACACACACACACACACACACACACGCACACACGATAATTATAATGTTTTTGTAATCTTGAACGATGTAATGAGAAATGTGTTTTGAATGATTAATTGGTTTATGTTATTTAATATATGTGTAGCGGATAAAGAGTGGTGCTTCTTGACACAGACTATGCTTAAAAGGAGACTCCAGCCACTATTGTTTAAGAACCTGTGTTTTTAAGAAATAAAGATTTTACTATTTTATTATGTGTTATTAAATTATTGGTGCGAAAATGTAATATTGCACAATGTTAGTCATATTGATTAGGTTACTTAGTATAGTTAAGGGTATAAATATTAATTTTACCATTTACAAATTTTTAGATCGGTACATACATCCTTACATAGTTATTTACTTTTATGGCAGTTCCTTAAAAGCACAGAATATTGAAGAAGCAGCTAATTGCAAATACTGGAAAGGCTTTAATGAGTGAGTTACTTGAGTGATCATATAATAGGTGGATATTATTGAGGGATTTCAATGTAGAAGAATTTTAAAACATTTTTCTAAAATCTATTTAGCAAGCTGTAATGCAAATCCTTATAAATAAAAATTTAGTTCTAGTTCTAATTCTGCATGTATTAAAATCTCTTTGTATTGTTGATATCATTGATATGATATAATTAAAAAAAAGAGCATCCCTTTTTTAAATTCGAATTTGAATAGATATAAATGTATTTCTCATATTTGAATAAAAATAACTGCGATCAGCACATTTCTAACAGGTAGTAACTGAATATCTACATATTGTTTTGTGTCCATCAAATACAGGTAAAATAATAAAAAAAATGGATTAATTTAATGAATTATTATATTTTAATTAATCTTCAAACATCCAAAATATCACTTCCGTGTGTCTGACCACTGTTTTAGCAAGGGAAAGCATCCCTGTGTTTTATATGCCATTAGAATTACATTAAAATATGCTAATAGTAACTAAAATGCATTTACTAATTATAGACAGAAACATATTACATCTAAATCAAATAATTAATTCCTCAGTGGGTCAAATCAAATATGTGATAAATTTTTTTGTCCCATTTATGGATGTACGTCACACTGCCCTAATTATTTAAATATTGTGCTGGTATCTGAATTGGAACTAGAATGCAAAAAAGATACAGCTGCCATCTTTTGATTCAGATGTCAGTTTTGGCTGGCGATGCAAACACTTACGATAAATTACATTTTGATCTGCGATTCTCGAAACTCGCTAAGCATAAGTGGTCACAATTGTGTTGGTCATTAGATGTATGTTTTTTAATTAATGCGAAGTGCATTAATTAAAATAAGATTTGTGCCTTTAACGCGTTTTTTTATCAAAAATACATGGCTAAATTTACAAGTCCATTCTTGGTTTTGAAGTTTTTGAGATTTTTGATGGAAAAAAGTCACTGCCGTAGAGGTCACGTCTATCAATATGTAGATAAAAATATGCCTACATAAAAACTTTTGATCCATGGAAGTGATTTTTCTATAGAATGCGGGTATGTAAGACAGGGTTGTGTTTTTATTTTGTGCAAGTATGTGCATTGCTTTTTTCTGTACAAATTTCTTGTTAGAAGGCGAAAATCCAAAAGTGTCCAAAAACAGCAGAAGATATGAGTAGACATGACTTTTTCTCAACTCTTATAATTAAGTCCCTAAAGGGCTTGCTCGAGTATATTTCCCTTGAATAATAAGAACCAAAAGTAATCAAATCCATCATTAAAAATATCTAAAAGCAGTTTTCACTTTGTTTTATTTTTTTGCCATAAAAATGAGAAATACCCATAAATCATATATGACTTCAACCAAAATGTATCCTATGAAAGAGGTGGCTAAGAATTAACTATATCTCAGCACAAGAAGACTTAAAATACAAAAAGCATGTCTAAATACATCACAGGCATAGGCATACTTTGCACATTTTCCTTTTTCATAGAATTCCTTAAATAAATGTAAATCCTCTATGTGTTAAAGCTGATTTGTTAATAATTCCATGAGTTTAAGCATACCTCGTTACTAAACATTAGCCAATAAAAGAATCAAAGTATTAATCTGATGTTTCTCTAGCCAATTTAAGATTTTTTTCAAACATACAAGTAGCGCCATCTATCGTTCTGATAGCTAACTAGTGTGACCTATTCAATATTATTATCTATCTAACCATTGTTAATGAATTTGCACTACCAGTACCATATGTCTCATGAAATTATAAAAACTGAATGCATTTGTTTATTGACACTTGGGATGTTTTAGCAAGATCTAGAATACTATCTCCATAAAAATATGACAAAATACCTTCATGAGACAATGAAATCTACTATCAGATGGGTGATTTTGTTACTTTGTAAATGAGTTTGAAATTCCATAATGAATAATTTTGAATAAAATCTTGTGTTTAGCTGTTAAAATGTATAACCTTCTAAGTGATTGTATTTTTTTAAATACTTTTAGAGAGTACAATTTCACAAAACACACCTAGCCATCTAGGTGTGTTTTGAATTCAAAAACTTATGTAGGTAAGTGCTATACCTATTAGAAAACATTGATACACAATACACTGATACAGAATACACTGATTATGAGTTCAACAATTATTTTTACCTAGGTATGGCAACACCAAATTAATTTAAATGGCAATTTATTTATTCTTTTAAATAGTAGTAGTTACGTCAAATGGTCTGTACAATATGGATAATATATGTTTCAAGAAGCTACATCACATGGTTCTGCTTCAAATGTAGGTGAAATCCAAAGATATATTTATACAAGTGCTGTACGTTTGTTAAGTAATTGTCATCAATTAAGCATTAAATACTCGTAGAAATAGATATTAAAAAAAGAACACTAAAAGAAAGAAATAAAGATAAATTTACATTTATCTATATCACTTGCTTGTCTTCTATATCATGAGTGTTTGTTTTTTTCCATTTTATTTTAGCTAAATTATCTCTAGTGAGGCCCAGATACATATAGCTTATTTCACAAGTTAATAGTGACTGTTAATTAGTTGCTAGATCACAGCACATTAATATATTCTAGCCAAAACAGCACTTAAAATGTAAGGAAGTGGGAGACTAGGCTTTATGACAGTAACTTGCTATTTACTGTCCCAATATGGAGAGTGACAGCGAGAGATATTTGGATTGTAACGTAACTCCACAGTAAACGAACCGTCGAATTCCGCGACAATAAGACGCGAATTCTCTAATAATAGCCGTATGAAATACAAATCTGTAAAAACAACAGCAAAATTTTTACATGTTGACGTGGCGTGACTTTGAAGAGAACCTAATTATCACTAAGCAGCCCACTTACACTTAATAACCTTACGATAATATCAGTTCCAAATGTATTAATTGCAATATAAAACAACTAATTTGCAGTTTCATTTTGATTAGTGTAGCGTAAGTATGGCGCCTCTGACATTGTTGGCCTCTCTTTATTTTTATCATAACAATATGGCGAATGGACTTACCCTATTATTCCTAATGAAGTCTTCTATAGCTTTCAGCGCTGAATCCGTTAATTTCACAAACACTAGTTCCTTATTTTCTTTACAACTAGACTCTGATGATAACCCATACTGAACACCTGCTGGCAAGGCCGCCATTTCTTTATTCACTATTCGCACTGTTGGACCAGCTGACTCCTTTGCTAGTCGTCACGATTCATATCATTCACATATTTTCTTAACCGTAATCACAGATTCACAACCTATATAAAACTATAATTACAACAACAAAAGGGTTTTAGCAGTCCAAATTAATCTTTTTGTAACCCCATCGACTCGGCCTTTGTTGGCAGCTCTCTTCAGTCTGCAAGGCCGCACTGACTGTCATGCGCAATGGCGCTTTTGACAGGAAACGCGAGCATTCACTGCGACACTAGCGCCAATTAGCAGTTGGCAACAAGTATTTTCAGTATCTGTAGCCAACTTCATTCAATTCAAAAGTACAATATTTTTCTGATTTTCTTGGCGTAAAATCTAAATTAATAAACTTTTCAAGAAAAATTAAGTTTCTGTGGATCGATTCCAAGATGTATATTTCATTACAATTTTTATTAAGCCACCGTGTTTGAAATGGTGACGTTTAATGCTGTGTGAGGTTATGTTTGATTTCGTTCAGTTTCGTAAGCTACCTAAGATTACTTACGTGTTACTTATTTTTTCCAATTTTCAAGTGGCCTGAGATATTCGGAAATTACATTTACTGTATTGTGTGATAGTTGACTTTTTGCGCGTATAATTTATCTAAGCTACAGTAAGTCAGAATTATATTTTATATCCCGTCTCTTTTTGTTGTTTTACTTTGTAGGTAGGTAGTGCAGTATTTCACCAGAAATCCTAACCTATATATAACATTGTTTTTTTCAGCGTGTCTTGTAACCGAAATTATGGCGAACTTAGAAGAAAAGAAGCACCTTATCACCCGCAACTTACAAGAAGTTTTAGGTGAAGACAGATTAACAGAAATCTTAAAACAAAGAGACCTTAAAATTTACTGGGGTACTGCGACCACCGGACGCCCTCATGTAGCATATTTTGTGCCTATGTCCAAAATTGCCGACTTTTTAAAAGCTGGATGTGAAGTAACAATATTGTTTGCGGACTTACATGCCTATTTAGACAATATGAAAGCTCCTTGGGACCTTCTTGCTCTGCGCACCCAGTACTATGAAGTTGCTATCAAAGCAATGCTTACTTCGATTGGAGTACCATTAGATAAGTTAAAATTTGTTAGAGGGACTGAGTATCAGCTCAGCAAAGAGTACACTCTAGATGTGTACAGAATGTCCTCTGTGATTACTGAACATGATGCAAAGAAAGCAGGTGCTGAAGTTGTGAAACAGGTGGAACACCCTTTGCTCAGTGGTTTACTGTACCCTGGACTTCAGGCTTTGGATGAGGAATACCTCAAAGTTGATGCTCAGTTTGGTGGTGTAGATCAGAGAAAAATATTCACTTTAGCCGAGAAGTATTTGCCTTCACTTGGTTATGCTAAAAGAGTACATCTTATGAATCCAATGGTGCCTGGTCTTACTGGAACAAAAATGTCTTCTTCTGAAGAAGATAGCAAGATTGATCTATTGGACAATCCAGCAAGTGTTAAGAAGAAGCTTAAAAAAGCTTTCTGTGAACCTGGCAATGTCACGGACAATGGAATCCTATCTTTCATTAAGCATGTTCTTTTCCCACTTATGAAACCTGAAGTTACATTTCAGATTTTAAGAGCACTGGAAAATGGTGGTAATGTAGAATACAGCAACTTTGAAGATCTTGAAGCTGCTTTTGCAAAGCAAGAAATACATCCAGGAGATTTGAAAGCCTCTGTTGAACAAGAAATAAATAGGCTTTTGGCACCAATTCAAAATACTTTCAAAGACCCTAAATTACAGGAATTGACAAAGAAAGCTTACCCACCACCTACAAAGGTTAAAGGCAATTCTAATTCTAATGCAGTAGATGAGGTTACACCATCAAAATTAGACATCAGAGTTGGAAAAATTGTGGAAGTCTCCAAGCATCCTGATGCTGATGCTTTGTACGTAGAAAAAATTGATTTGGGTGATGACGAACATAGAACTATTGTTTCTGGATTAGTTAATTTTGTTCCTATTGACAAAATGCAGAATAGAGATGTCGTAGTTTTATGTAATTTAAAGCCTGCTAAAATGCGTGGTGTAGAATCTAAGGGAATGGTGTTGTGTGCTTCGGTTGATGAACCTAAACAGGTTGAGCCTTTATTGCCTCCAGAGGGAAGTAAACCTGGAGATAGGATTATTGTAGAAGGATATGAATCTGGACAACCAGATGATATTCTAAACCCGAAGAAAAAAGTCTGGGAAAAACTTCAAGTTGACCTAAAAACAAATGATAGTCTTACAGTTGTGTGGCAAGGAAATAAATTGATAAGCAAAGTTAATGGCAACCCTGTGACTACTAAGTCGATGAAAAATGCTCCAATTAAATAATTTTCCAAAATTCAATAAATATAATTATTAGGTTTTGTTTATTAAACAAAAGGTATATATACCTTTAAGGTATATTTACCTTACAGATTGATAAAAACTTTATTTACTGATATAACATAAATACCGATTAAACAGAAAATTTTAATGTTAAGGAAGCTTTTTATATTTTTTTATAGATAATAATTACTTTTACTCATTGTTATTTTTGTTAAGCATATATTTTATTTATCAATAAATGAGTAATAATCTGGAATGTCCATTTAATTATAACAATATCTGAAACGATACAAATCTATAGTACACCTAGATATATGACTGATTTAAATTTTGGTAGAAAATGTCTGGAAGTAGATACTATTATATTATTAGGGAAAGTTGATGAGTGACGATCACACTCGTCAACTTTCCCTAATAATATAATAGAATAAAATCAAGAAGTATCAGACATAATTGATTACGTATATAATATCATTGTAGGTACCTGTTTGAAATTGACTGTTGAATCTCAAAACAATAAATACAATTGTTTTTATTCTTTCGTGGGTGGTTAAACTCAGTTGCGTAGCGACATCTCGTGTGTGACTGTAATACTACGTGCATTTGTTTTTCTATTGGAAAGTAATGAATCGTGAACTACGTAGAGATGTCTTTTATATACTCGATGGATGTCTTTCTCCTTGTGGTTCAATATTTGAATTTGAACAGTGCAGTTTAACTTATTTATTATATTGTTAAAATTAAAATAGAGCGACCAAATGTTGCAGGACATCGTTTGGATTCAGCCTGAATCATTCAGGGCAGAACCGTACTTGGTGATGTTATATTTTAGAGTTCAACGTTCGGCAGTTATAGTAGGACAGTTTTAATTTTTGGAAAAAAGTATGCGTATAATGTTATTATCTGTAAATAGAAATGTAATTCTTTTTTTGGCATTGTTGCAGTTTTAGTACCTAATATGTGCCATTATTATCACGCCTCTTTACTTATGCCAAGCCTGCCAGATATCATAGGAAACTTACGCAAAAATAACTTATTACAACCAAATTATAATATATATTACCAATATTTTCCAAGAAAACTAATTGTTTAATTTAACTTTTGGCTCTAAGGTTTGAATCGTTGTTTTTAAAAGGAAATGCCATAATTTAATGAACTCCTTTGTTTTGTGGAAATTAAATCAATTAAGATGTGGTAACGGTAAAAAGGAACCGTTAGGTATTTTATTTATAAATCTATTATTTTGAAGAACTAAAGCAAGTTTTTATCCACAAATATAATTTTTTATGTTATATTATTGTAACAGGTGTCAGTGCTAATTACAAATCTCCACTATAGTTATATTGTAATTGAGGTTATCAACGCAAAAGCGGTTACATACCTCATGAAATGCATAAAATACATCTATCTATTATAGAAGATAATGAGAGACTTAAAATTATCCGTATTTATTTATATATAGCAATCAAGCAATATACCTACATATTGTTAGCGTTCGTTGGTATGTTTATAAGTTTCAGTAATTGTAGTAGCCTTGTGTTGACGTGAAAAACCGCTATACAGACTATACTACTAATAAACGCTGTCTACTTAGATACATAACTTGCCTAGGTTGACAAATCCTTAGTATCTACATAAAAGTTTTGTGGTCTTAGTAAGTTGGTAGCCATATAGCTATTTCATTCATGTTGGAAGCACCTACAACTTTTAACTCATTCAAGTTTGCGTATGTTTTACTGTCCAGTCTGTCAAAAGATTAGCCTGAACCAATTCAGAGAACGAATTAATAATAAAGCAGCCCTGCATGCATTGCAACTGGGCTATAACAATGAATACACGGATAAAATTAGATATTCAATAACGGGAAGGGGGTCGGAGAGGTCCGCCATTTTGGCGCTTCGGTCTACCAAGGGCTGAGGCAAGGGGGATCACGCATGCGTAAACGGAATTCGCTCCGCACCCTGTCTATAGGGCCGGGACCTCGGCGAGCGATGTCAAAAACCACGTTATTATCTCCCTTTATACCACTAACCTAGTACGTCTGAATTAAAGATTATTAACAGAAATCCCTGAAGTTTCCTGAGCCACCGGTGCCCCATACATTGGCCCATCCTATTGTTATAGACAGGATCGATTTCATTCAAGATTGTTTGATCTTATGAACAATGACATACGGTTGATCGGCCAGTGACTCATTAGTGCTAGTTTTTTTTATCAGTGCTATCTACAGACATTTTCAACGAACAGCAAAAACTGTGACCTATAAATTTAAACAAAGACAGTTGCTAAATGTGTTCAGTTTGAGGGTAATGAACTGTGCAGGGAACAGTTTCGCGGAAGTGGCAGGAATAATAATGGGATGACACTAAATAAAGATTCATGGAAAAGGTTTGGCGTCGAGTAGGTCTCCATTCCTCTCGTAAGAAGAGGGATGGAAGCGGGACGAGTCAGGAAGTGACAGCAACCGCGCCTCCGGAAGCAGAATACCAAAATATTCATACTTTGCGAACAGCTGACTTGATACGACAAAGACAGGGGGACGAGAAATCCACTCTTCGATCTTCGTATATAATCCGGAATGGAGATAATTTCGTTTTAGTGGAGAGACGTCGTCGAAGGCGACGTAGAAGCGGTACTAGGGCTTCGTCAGGTGGAAGGCATCATACCCCGCCTGTGGAAGAGTCTACTCGTACGGAGCCAAAACGACGGCCACCAGCTCGTTTGAAACTATTTGGTATTCAATGGCCTTTGCACTCTAGTGACTCCAGGTATGCATTTAAAATTATTTTTCTTTGTACTAATATACATTTTAATTATTAGGCTGGCTGTGTATATAATTGTCTATATCATGATACTTTTGTATTCGTTGCGATGTATGTGAGTTTGTACCTTCTATATATACAGCCGTCGTTAGTTGAAAGGGCACTAGTGACAAAATATATTTAAAGAAATGAAATTAAAAATTTATATACTTTTCTCTTGCGGCAACTTCATACCACCTTGCTCACCTAGAAAAAAAATAGTGACAGTTCGGCGTAGTAACTATACTATTTACTGATGATGATAATTATTTACCCTATACATAACAATTAAAAAAAAAGTCGCATGCGCCGTTTCAACTAACAATGGCAGTATGTCACTTGATCGGTAATAATTTCTGCTTCCGTTAATGGGCAAGTGCTAATTATAGGTAATGTGTCTATGTAATTTTTGATAAGTGTTGTAGACGGGTAATTATTTCTGACTGGTAAGGTTGGCTACAAGCCTATGGTATGTACCTGTATACTTTTGTAGACTTACCTACTACGTATTTTGTCTTGTAAGTCATAGTTGCAAATAGAAAATAAAATACATTTAAGGTTTATAAAATGCACCTGTTTTCTGCAGTACAGTAGATTATACGTCTTGATAATGGTATCGGTCGTACTTATGCTAATATCTGCATTTACATAGTTTTGTTGATTGCTGAAAAACACGTGAACACGAACACGTGTTGACAAATTTTAGGTCACATAATATAAAATTTCAAAATGTTGCTGCAACTAAAACTTTAATACGAAAAATTATTATAGTAGGGCGGGAACTAACTACCTACTTGGATTCAGTTTTTTAACTTAAAAGGTAAATAAGGACTAAATCTCTGGAATGAGACATATGAATTAAATACGAAACGTTATTGTAATAGTCAATGTTTAACATTGTCAACGACACGGCCGTTTATACATTGATTAAGAAATATTCGAGGTTTCCGAGACTTCCCGTTATTACGGGTAATTTGTGTCGATTCGGCAAAGACGAACTTATTTTTATCATTATGAATCCAAATGACAAAATGATTATGCTTATATTCAACTCTTTATGTTAATTTAACATATTTGAATCATATGTTTTTCCGATGAAAATGGAATTTTAGTAAATAACGTGCCTATTTAATTTCAGTGTGTGTGATTTAATTGTTATTTGCCAGTAAAACAATGAAAAAAAGACGTGAAAGTAAGACATGAAAAAATAATAGATTGATATTGGTTACTGATAATAAACTTGTTTGAATTTTTCCTGTCCATGGAACAGTATAAATTATAATTAATTATATACACATCCATAAGGTTTTGTAACTTATGACTGTTAAATATTAAATAATAACACCATGTAAGAGCGCGTTCTCATGATGTTGTAGCGTATTATTTATCGTTGGACGACTGTTGCGCCTGGCTTGTTCCCGTATCACCACTATGTCGTGACGGTCGTGGATGTTTATTTTATCGTTGAACGACTGTCGTGTCTAGCTGTTCCCACTAGATCGTAACGACAATTTATCGGTTAATGGCAGCCGTCTGTCTTGTCGTTTGCACGACAGAATTGTTTGAAGCTGCGATAATCTGTCGTCATATCTTTATCGTGATGTTTTATTTATCGTGACTGTCGTTCTAGCTGTTCCCATTGTCACGACAGTATGTCGTCGTAACGTCAAAGAAGTCATGAACGACATTTCATCGTGATGTAGGTACTTACTATACATATGTGAAAAACTTACTTTAAACTACACAACTATCCGTCGTCACGACATAATGGGAACGCGCCCTAACACTATTTTGGTTTCTGGGTTATCAATATAATTTTCTAATTGGTTATAATTTATGAGTTATAACAAAAAATATGAAAAATTTTATTTACCTGCAAAAACTTTGCTTTTGTGATCATCAGCACAACAAATTTCAAATTTGCGTACTATTAAGGAAACGTACCCCTTTACGTGATTATCTTTATTTAAAGATAGAAAGGGAACATTATATTTCGAATCAATAGTATATTATTTCATTAATAATTCTATAAATTGATTGACAAAGAACCTAAAAATATGTAGATTTGCGAGAAAATGTAAATACCACTATGTATCTATGTAAATAGGCAGCTGTGTAAATACCACTGATAATTCACATACTGGCTGCCCAATTAAACAGAAACCAATATTGTTAAACCTGAAACGGAACATTTTTGAAAATTAGTTACATAGTGATAATTATCGCTCACTTCACATTGGTAAACAAAAACTCCTAACACCCTAAGGGTTCAGTGGCGTTTACCTATACACACTTGGAATACTCCAGTTTGACACGTGGTAATTGGTGTGGTTATTTTGGCGCATTTACCTATTATTTGCTGTAACGTTTTCTATAATTTTTAAGTTTATTGAATGTCACGATGCTTGACCACCATGATATTCAATTATTTTTGTGAAATTACTTCGCTAATTTGTTATAATTATTAAGACTCGATGACGACGTTTTCTGTATTCATATTCATACATATTGTTGGGCACGGGCAGTGGCGGATTTGCAGTCTTGGCCGCCCTAGTCCCGAGGCCATGCTTTCTTTTTTTTATATAAAATATAAGTGCGCATTTGACCTCCATCACACCCAAATATTACCTATTCACTCTCGCCTGGAAAAGGCCCAAGTTATAACGTTCAGGGAACAAGTCGGCAGGCAGGGAATTCTACTCCATAGCCGTTCGCTATATAAATGTGGAAGCATAACGCTTCGTGCGAATCTTTGGAATATATACAACATAGGAGGGAACCCAAGCCCACGCCTAGTCCCCCGGTGATGGAAAGGCGGAATTAAATCGTGTAATTCCATTGCACACTCTCCGTAATATATCCTATAAAATACCGATAAGCAGGCACCCTTACGGCGGTGTTCAAGGCTCTGCAGCTTCGCCTCCACTCCGAAGTTCCGAGTCACCTATAAGCCTCTTAGCACTATTGTCAATTGAATCCAAAGTGGCCAGTTGATATGTAGCAGATCCGTCCCAAAGGTGGCAGCAGTACTCCATGCACGACCAGACTTGTGCTTGGTGTAACTGAAGCAACTGTCCCGGTGTAAAGTAACGTCTCACCTTGGAAAGGATGCCAAGCTTCCTTGCTGCATTTTTGACCATGGATTCAATGTATCTACCTAAGTTCAAGTTGGACGACCGGTCCATTCCAAGTAGCTGGAGACAGTTGACTATCGGTATGTATATATCACGAAAAGTCGGAGTCAGCTCAAAGGGACTCCGTTTTGTGGGAAGTAGACGCCTGCGTTTTTGTAGCATAAAATTTGACAAGATTGCATCGCCCCAATCGGAGACTGCCTGGAGTGTCAAATTCAAACGGCTAACTATGGACTCTCGACAAGACTGGACTGGACTGTCTCTCCACTGGACTGGTCAAGACCAATGCAAGGATACTTGTACCTATCTACAACTGTGCTGTCATCAGCATACGCAAAGGTACGTGGAATTAACATATCATTGATATGCAGCAGAAAGAGAGTTGCAGACAGTACGGAACCCTGAAGAACTCCTATCGCCATCTATTCTTAGAAGAGTAGCCTTCTAAGATCACTCGAATCGAACAATCTCTCAAGATATTCGAGATCCAATTGCAAAGGTCAGTGGGAAGCCCATAAAAGGGAAGCTTGCTTAAAAGGCTTGTTGCGTGCCAGACATGGTCAAAGGCTTTAGAAATGTCCAAAAACACTACAAGTGCTTCGTCTTGCTCTTCTATACCCTCGCTCCATATGTGACAGGCATATACAAGAAGAACAGGAGACAACTCACACAGTTACGCAGGAGTGTTGCTGGAATTCCATCTGGTTCGCTAGCTTTATTCACGTCTAGATTTCACAGAGTTCTAAGTACCTCTTTTTGGCGTATGCGAACTGGCGCCATAGTGCAGCCAGCCTGAGGTAAAGTAGGTGGTAGGTTCCCTGCTGCCCGATCAGTACCAGCCGCCCCTTTCTCAGCGCTCATCATATACTGGTATATTACATAATGAATTTACTTTATTGCCAACTTTTACCGAAATCGATTCAGAAATGATTGTATTTGCATGCATGATGGCATGATTTTTCTGACATCTTCAACATTTATCGTAATATTTCAGCCAAATTACACGAAACCTAAATAAATTGTACTCTTAAACTTTCCTCATGAATCACTCTGTCTATTGGTGGAAAACGTATGAAAATCCGTTATTGAGTTTATCGCGATCAAACAGACAGACAGACACGGTAGTGATAATATGTAGTGATGTCATGATTATACATTACATTATAGATGTGTAACATATATTTTATACATATAATGTATAAAAGTGATTTAGGAAGATTATTGTTTTAAGATACGGTGCAGTGCGGCCGCCATAATGTACGTGAGCCTTTAGAATATTTAGGCACTTTGACTTATTACTTGTTATCATCAGTGACTTTTTTGTCAAGATTGGCGGCCCAAGGCCCGGGCCTACTAGACCTTAGGGCTAATCCGTCACTGGGCACGGGTCTCCTTTAAAGGAAGACATATTTTAATCCTACACCTAATGCACGTTGAGGACGACGTCTCGGGTGTGCGGATTTTATTTATTTTTTCCTTCCTTAATCTTTTGATAATTTTATTTTGATTGTTGTATTTGTTCGATGTACAAAACATTTTGCATCAATACTACTGTATATTTGATATGTAAATTAAGTTTTTAAACTAAATTTAATCGTAAGATATGTAAAAATGTACAATTGCTATCACAACATTTTGCTAGCAATCATTAAATTCCTCTCACAAATTATGTTCAACAAAGACCCTTCAAGGAATAACTAACCTTCTGGAAATCGATATCGGATAAACGTACTATCACTTACCTTATTATTCACACCGTTAATGAGTTTATTTATATTTTCTTTAGACATACGTCGATTACACGACGTTTCTGCCGCGGTCGTCGGTCACGCGAAGATAACGAACTCTACCGATCTAACAGCTTCAAGTTCGAACGATTCGCGAGAGAACCGCCGGCTGATGAATCCGCTTCTGGCTCTCAGGTAAGTTACTCGTTTATGTGATAGGTGTCATTAAAATTTATTATACATATTATGTAATGTTGAGTTCTCCGGATTTTGTTATTGCTAGACGTCGGAAATTTACAGGTCCCGTAGTCACGGCCAAGGGCGTCGCCTAGGGGTGTAGGGGCAGCTGCCCCCCCCCCCCCCCCCCAGAAATTTAAAAAATGTAGCCAAATGCATTCCCGAAGGTCGAAACTCGATTCTAACTAATTCCCTTCCGAGTACTCCGTCTGCGCTGCTATAGTTTACTGTAAAAGCGGGGCGAGGATGAGTGGGGAGGCAACATTTAGTAGCAGTAGAGCTCCTTGTGAAAGAGTTCGTCCAGGGAAGTACTGCCGTATTTCTGCCGCCAAGCAGTAATGCATTACTGCGTTCCAGTTTTGAAGGGTAAGAGAGCTGGTGAAATTACAGGCACATGGGATTTTACAACTTATGTCTCAGGGTGACGGGCGAAGTGGCAGTGCCTCTTAAATTCTGAGTGGCACTGCAACTGTTATGGACAGGCGTGTCGCTTACAATCAGGCGCACGACTTGTTCGTCCCATCACTTAGTATCATAAAAAAATATATTATTATTTTCAATAAACATAATAACTTTGTTTACTAGTTTTATTTATTGTACAGTCATGAGTTCGTTGAGCTTTACACATTGGGCTTTGTAACTTTTTTATTACAATCACCGTAGACGTCAGATTTGCGCTACAATTGCTTTATTATTGCCTAAAGCTTCATGTGGTCTTGACTGTACTTATAATTCATTCTTATCCTATCCTGCATATATCAACTTGTCCCCCCTGGGCCATCGGCTGACGACACCCTTGGTCACTGCTAACTGCCGTCCGTGAACATGGGACCTGTAAAAAGCCTGAAACGTTGGTTTATTCGAAAAAACAAATGTGCGCGATTTAGACCCGAAAAAAAAGTTTGATTCCCAATATATTATGAAATTTCATTGTATTGACTCTACTTGTAAAGGAAAAATGTGACAAAAACTATGTGAAGTTATTCTCGATTTGTAATGTATTGCCAGTTCAAGAAAAATTCAAACTATTATTAGTTTTGGATGAATACGGAAGGGGTGAGCTTAAGAGATGTGCTGAACATTCTTACACCACTAGATCTGTTAACAATAAAGAATATATGTACCTAAAACTATAAGTTACTTTAATATATAATGATCTGAATGTTGACGAAAAGAATTTATCTAAATTAACATTTAAAAAGAAAGCGAAAAAGAAATTGTTATCACAAATCTCAGATGGCTAAGCTTTGTGCTATTGTTTCTGATACATTTATTTTTTGACGTACGTTAGGTAAGGTTAGGCATACGGTATAGGTTTTTTGCTTCTGATAAGAGTGTGTCTCCGCCGATAAACTGCTCTGCAGTTTGGCGGGCTTTAAATTTGTAGCAAAGTGTGTTTGAGAATCGTTCCTATGCAAAATCGTTTTTAGTATTGTTGAGAACAACCACCCCTTTAAATTTGATGAAGTAAAAGAAAATGGCTATGTATGCAAGAGGATATCCAGTTCCTATATAGAAGCCACAGGAGCTTTGTTTGATCTCTGTGACCTTTATCTCACCTACCTATCGTCTCAGCTACCGTCATAGGGTCGAGACACAAAACTGCGAATTGGGAATCGGCGCGATGCGATTTCGTGCGGCATGGCATCTCATTGCCTTTGGGTAACAATTCCTGCGACATAGATTTTAAGACTTTCGTGGTTATTCACTAAATGATTATCACTAGTAACAGGTTTCTTACCACGGTATAACTTGTGTGAGTCAACCCGTGACCATGGAGCGTGCAACCGTTCCGAAATATCGGGAAAATAAAAAGAAGTTATACCGTGGTAAGAAACCTGTTACTAGTGATAATCAATTCCTGCGACGATCGTCAAACGTACTGAACGTATTTTTGAAACTAAGTAGCGACTGGAACGGAAAAA